TATAAACAAAACAAAAAAGTGCTGATAGAGACAGCTAGTATTATTACAAACGTGTTCCACAAAAGCTGTAATTGGAAGCCCGCAATTCATCACAACACAACATCAAAACCAACATACGTGCTAACAGTGGATTTTGGAATTTAAAGATATTTATTTTATTAATTATTATTATTTTTTATTATTATTATTATTATTATTATTCTTAGTATAATTATTATTCTTTTTTCTCTCTTTTTGTTTTTATTTATATGTTTAATTATTAGAATATAAAGTATAATATTTTACACATTTTCATTTTATTTTTACATCTTCATTTTTATTTTTATTATTTTCTTCTTTATATTAATTTAATTTAATTTTACTTATATTTATATAGTTAATTTAATTTAATATCAATTAATATTAATAGTAGTTAAATTAAGTAAATCTTATAGCACACCTGCTATTTGCATATATAACCACGTATGCAAATGAGCAGTCAAAATCTAGTAAGAAGACATACGATAAGCATTCCAAGTAAACGTAATGCTTATTTGGTAATAGACGCATCGAATACGTTGCCTCTGAAAACTACACAAACTGACAAAAGCTTGTCAAACATTGCACCTTCAGCAACTTCGCTTGCATTTTCCGACTTAGCGAGTCCAAAAAATAAAATAAAGGTCCAAACAGGCATGGAACGCTATGTAAATATGAAACGCAAACTTAGTCCTCAAAAAAGCAATTCAAAAGGTGCTAAAATAACTAAAACCATCAAAGATAGTGCAACTACAAACATTCTTTCTGGCAATAGATTTGCTGAATTAGCTGAAACTACAGATGAAGCTAAGCAGCCTATTAACAAAAATTTTAAACCGCCTCCAATCTACTTGCGTGAACGCAGCTCAAATAAGCTAGTTACAATCCTTGCAAGTCTGATTGGAAATAATACTTTTCATATTGTTCCTATAACTAGGGGCAAAATACACGAAACCAAAATCCAAATCGACACTGAAAACAATTTTAGAGTCATAACCAAATATTTCGACGACAACAAGAAAAATTACTACACATACCAACTAAAGAGTAGTAAGGGCCTTGTTGTCGTAATTAAAGGTATCGAATCAGATGTAGAACCCATTGAGATAACAAATGCCCTAAGCGAAAAAGGCTTTAGCGCTAGAGCAGTTATAAACATTGTTAACAAAGATAAAATCCCACAACCTATGTTCAAAGTTGAACTTCACCCGGAAACTTCTAAGTTTAAAAAAAATGAGAGCCATCCCATCTACAACCTACAGTATTTATTTCACCGCAGAATTAGCGTTGGGAGCCCCACAAAAGAAATGGTCCGGTGCAATGCACAAACTGCCAAGAGTATGGCCACACTAAGTCATATTGCACTCTTCGTACAGTGTGTGTAGCTTGTGGCGAGATTCACCATAGTTCCGAATGCGATAAAAAAGCATTAAAGGATACCAACTCCAAAAAATGTAGCAACTGCAGTGGAAATCACACTGCAAACTACAGAGGCTGTCCTATTTATAAAGAACTAAAGCACAGGTTAGCTCTGCAGAAAGAAGCGTTGCGTAATCCTACAAGAAGCAACACCATTAAATTAGTTGAAGTACCTCAACCTTTAACTTCTAAGCCTGTTACACCAGGTGTTTCATATGCTAATGTCGTTAAATCTGACAAGCAACAAGCCCCTCCAGTTCAAAATAATAGTTTGGAAATAATGATCTCCACTCTCACTCAGAGCTTAACTCAGTTCATGTCAATCATGCAAACTACTCTTAACGAGATAGTTAAAATGCAAAGCCAATTAATGCAAATGTTTTTGTCTAAATAATGAGTACTTTAAAAATTTGTACATGGAATGCAAACGGCTTAAGCCAACATAAACTTGAACTCACAAATTTCATGTCCCGAGAAAGTGTAGATGTTATGCTTTGCTCAGAAACACATCTAACTAACAAAAATTTATTTTCTATTCCTGGTTATTTATTCTATAAAACCAATCATTCAGATGGCAAAGCACATGGTGGTACAGGCATTTTGATACGAAGGGGTCTCAAACATAATTTTCTAGGTACATATGCTCATAATTATATGCAAGCCACATCAATATGCCTTAAGCACACAGGAAAAAATTTAACTTTATCGGGAGTTTACTGCCCTCCTCGCTTCAACATTACTGAGACCCAATTTACGGATTACTTTTTAACTCTAGGTGAAAGATTTCTTGCGGCGGGAGACTACAACGCCAAGCACACGTACTGGGGTTCACGACTCTGTAATCCAAAAGGAAAACAGCTCTACAATTCAATTGTAAATAGAAAAAATGCACTAGACGTAATCTCTCCTGGACAGCCAACATATTGGCCTGCTGATAACAAT